GGTCCTCCGAGTCCGCGGGGGCGCTGTCCGTACCCGGCGGCCTCCGGAGCGGGCGCGGGCCGGAAGCGCACGGCCACTTCCGGTTCGGGTAGCTGGTCGAGCGGCAGGTCGGCTCCCGGGCTGGTTCGGAGGCTTCGGTAGCAGCGACGAGAGCAGCGGAGGTCCCCTTGGACCAGCGGCCTCTCGAGCACGCTCCGCTGTGGTCTCGGTCTCGGCGGAGAGCGCGGTGCCTCCAGCGCCCTGGGCCGCCGCGATGCCGTTCCTGCACGGCTTCCGGAGGATCATCTTCGAGTACCAGCCGCTGGTAGACGCGATTCTGGGCTCCCTGGGGATCCAGGACCCCGAGCGGCCGGAGCCCCTGGACGGGTAACTCGCTCCCTTGGTTAGCCGGCGCCGCACTCCGCTTTGTCCCTGCAAGCCTAGTCTAACCGCGACTCCCCGTGCGAGCCCCTCCGCGCTGACCCGTGTCCCGCCTCTTGGGGGTGGCTGCACCCGGCCAGCGCTGGCGAAGCAGGGCGGCGGCGGGCGGAGAGGGTGGCATGTCGCCCGGCCTCGACCCCGCCCGGTGCACTCTGCCGGGCGCCCCTGGGAAGATGGAATCAGGGCGTTGGTTTTACTCAAGAGCTGTGTGAGCTTCACATTTTTTGTAGATGACTTTGCATTTGAAAGGTGTTAAAAAGTCAATGTTTTCTCCATTTGCTCCTGGCGAGGCCGTGCCAGTGCAGTGCGGGTGTTTCCGGGGCGGGGCGGGGCGGGGCAGCACAGGCAAGAACATAGTTCCAGAAGATTCGCTTTGCATCCATGGGGGATGGGGGCAGGGGGATGAGGCGGAATGTGCCCAGGCAGTAAGGATCAAACTTTGAATCAGCGGGGAGAATAGACCCAGATGGAGAACACCTTCACTGAGAGCCGCAGTTTGGGCAGGAGCCTGGGCTCTTGTCAGGGCTTTGGGCAAAGGCATGCCAGCAGCCCGCAGGCCTGGGCTTTGGGGGAAAGCCGACAGTTTCTGGTAGTTCGTGCTGGCAGGGGAAGGGGGAGGGGCTCGAGGAGGTAAAACTGCGAGGTCGTGAGTGGGACTGGGATGGGAAGAAGAACCGAGTGTGTCCACAGCCTTCTGAAGACCAGAGACTTAAGTGTCTGGGTGAGCTGGGAGGCAAGGAGGGCCACGGGTCTGACGCCCAAGGGCAGTCTCTGTCTTCAGTGTGAGGGGGGGGCCTTTCCAGGAAGGGGCATTAGGCCCTTGTTCTGGCTTCTAGCCCCCAGGGTTCCCGTCGCCCTAAAAAACAGCCCCAGCAACTGAGCATTACCCAAGCTTGGGACCAAACAAACCCTCGGCACAAGGTGAGGGACCAGGTCAGGAGGGAACTGCAGACTCAGCCCTTTGTCAAGAACCCCATGGCCTCTGCTCTGCTTTAGAAGATCCCCTTGGCCCTCTTTCAACCCTCGGCCTCCAGAGAGGCGTTCTGCCACATAGAGCCTGGACCCTGTTACCCATGGGTGGGGTGATGGCCACCAGCTAGGTGGTGTGGCTCTTTGCCGCAGGGTGCCCGTGTCAGCTGGTGACCCCCTCCCCCCTAACTGGTCATCCTCTGCTGCCAGTCCCAGCTATGCTGCCAGCGAGGAAAGCCACCTCCTTGTTCTCACGGAGCTGCTGGAGCGGAAGGCCCTCTCCCCGTTTTACCAGGAGGGGGTGAGCAATGCCCTGCTGAAGATGGCTGAGCTGGGGCTGACTCGGGCAGCCGACGTCCTGCTGCGAAACGGGGCCAACCTCCACTTCGAAGGTCAGCTGGCATCTGGAGCGGGGAGGGGTGGGCAGGCCTTCTGAAGCCCTGCTTTGACTGTTCTCTTAGGAACTGCCACTTGTTTTTAATGGGGTGATAACAGAGGGGCCCCTGTGGGTGGAAGAACTCCCCTGCCTTCCAAATGGCTCTTGACCACCTCTGTACCAAGAACAAGTCTGTCCCTTCTACCCAGTGATGGGCTTGGCAGACTCTCCCGGCACCCAGACAAACCCGCTGGCTTCCACTCTGAGCTCTGGCTGCCGGGGGTTGTGCTCAGAGCTGGGGAAGGTAATACCTGCCACTGCCTCTGAGCCCTCATGTTTTGTTCACGCCACAGGGAGGGGAGAGAGATAAGCCACCCCGGGCACTGGTCCCAGCAGGGCCAGGGAGCTCTCTGGCTTGTCAGTGCGGGGGTGGTGGTGAGCTGTTCTGGGAGGGCAGGGCGCCTCTGGGCTGGCACATTGAGGAGAGAAGAGGCTTAGGCTGCTGGGTTCCTGGAAAGTCAAGGAGCCGAGGAAAGAGGTGCATCCAAAGTCAGAGCTGTGAGAAGCTGGCCGTTAGTACCACGTCGCCGTTCCCCCCCGCCAGCAGAACCCCGCTACAGTCCTGTTTTCCAGAAGAGCAAGGTGCAGGCCAAACCAAATGAGGCTGCTAGAACGCCCCACAACCTGAAGTGCCTCTAGTGTCGCTTCTACACATCTCTGTCCTGACCCCTCCTGGTGCTAGAAGCCTGGGCCTGCAGCTTCCGGGGACTCTAGGTAAGAATGTCACTGAGTGTGTGTGCCCGCAGACCCAGTTACCTACTACACTGCCCTGCACATCGCTGTCCTGCGGAACCAGCCAGACATGGTGGAGCTGTTGGCGCGCCATGGGGCCGACATTAATCGAAGGGACCGGGTAAGCAGCCAGGTCCAGGGCCGGCCGCTAGTGGCGGGGCATCCGTGCTAGGCCACCTGCGTCCCAGCCTCAGGCAAATCGGCTTGTGCTTTCTCCACTCAGGTCCACGAGAGCAGCCCCTTGGACTTGGCCAGTGAGGAGCCAGAGCGCCTGCCTTGCCTGCAGCGCCTCCTGGACCTTGGAGCCAATGTCAACTCAGCTGACAAGCATGGTGGGTCCTCTTCCAGCAGCAGAACAGCCCTAGGCCGCTGTGTGGGAAGAAAGCTTGGGGAACCTTGGGAGGTGTGGGGGTGTGGGTGCTGGCTGGTAATTAGTTGGGCAGAGGTCCCAGCCCCCCTCAAACTGCAGCGTAGTGGACTGTGCTCATGGGGGTTCCTGTCGGGTACTCGCCGTGCCTGAGGGGACAAAAGCTTCTGTCGGGAGAGACCCAGCCAGGCTGTGGTTCCACCTATCCAGGAAAAGCCGCCTCCTCCTGCCCTTCAGTTCCCCGTTTGTGCAGGAAGAAAGGGCAGCCAGCTCAGCTCAGACGTGTCACGAGCTGGTGGTTTTGGCCCTGTGTTTCCACCTGCGGTTGCTCTGTCCCCCGCTTCTTGGCCCCCCACTCACCCAGATCCTCCTCCCGCTTCCTCCAGGAAAGACTGCTCTGCTCCACGCCCTGGCCAGTAGCGATGGGGTGCAGATCCACAATACTGAGAGTGTGCGGCTCCTTCTGGAAGGAGGTGAGACTTGTCCCTTCCCAGGGAGCCCCCAGCCTTTCATTCGCTCAGCACCTGTCTAGAGTCTGCTCCTGTCTAGGCTCCCCCACCTCCTTTAGATGTCAGGTGTTATCTGCACGCGGTAAGGCCTTCTCCCACGGTGTGGTCTGCTATCCCACGGTGTGGTCTGCTAACTGCTCTTCCAGGGGCAGACGTCAAAGCTGCCACCAAAGATGGGGACACTGTGTTCACCTGCATCATCTTCCTGCTCGGTGAGACGGCGGGAGGGGACAAAGAAGAGGCCCAGCTGATCCACCGCTTCTGCTTCCAAGTAACGCAGCTGCTGCTGGCGCACGGGGCAGACCCCAGCGCTTGCCCGGCCCACGAGTCCCTCACCCACATCTGCCTCCAGAACTTCACACAGCACTTCCCTCTCCTGCGCTTCCTGCTGGAGTCTGGAGCCGCCTGCCACTGCTCGCTCCATGGGCCGGCCTGCTGGTCAGGCTTCCACATCATCTTCGAGAGGCTCTGTTCCCAGCCAAGGTTTGCCGAGGACGAGAGCCACATGGACCTCCTGCACAAAGCCGAGACTGCTCTGGACCTCATGGTGACCGGCGCCCAGAAGCTCCAGCTGCCTGACAACTTTGACATCCATCCGCTGGGCAGCCTGGCAGGGAAGATCCAGGCCCTGCACTTCTCCCTGAGGCAGCTGGAGAGCTCCCCTCCCCCACTCAAGCACCTGTGTCGCGTCTGCATCCGGCTCCACCTTCAGCCCTGGCCGGTGGACGTCAAGGTCAAGGCCCTTCCCCTGCCCGACAGGCTCAAGTGGTACCTCCTCAGTGAGCACAGCAGCGTCCTCCAGGATGACATCTGACAGCCCCGCCCCGCTACAGCGAACAGTGGTCTTGGCAGCTGAAATCTGACTGCTGGTGGACTGACTGTCCAACGACGGCCACCTTGGGGCAGGTCTTGGTCCCACCTATGAGATGATGTCGGCTGGAAGCGAGCCCTGGCCTTCGTCAGTACAAAGCCAAGGAACATGTAGCTCCCAGGATCATCCCAGGGGTGCAGGTCTGGTTCTCCATCTTCCCGGGAGACTCCCTCCCTCTGGCAGCACCCTCACAGGGACAGGGAGGGTTCTGAGTTGGGGTGAGCAGAGTCTTCGTCCCCGCAGGGCAGGGAGGCACTGAGAGCCAGGCAGGCCTCAGAGCCCAGGAAACAAGGGAAGAGGGGTAGCCGCTGGAGGTCTTCACTCCTTGTTCTGCCACACAGACCAGTGCTGTGGTGAGTGGGGCAGAAAGCCCACCCAGCCCACCAGGCTCTTTCAGGGGGTGCAGCTGAGCTGGCGGCCAGCTGCGCCACCCTGGGCCCAGGCCACCTGCATCAACCTCGGCCTGGGCACTGGTGCGGGCTGCTTGTGCCAAACCCAGGGCTGGGGGCTGTACCATCTGCTGAGAGGCAGTCAAGTGCACGCCCATGGGCAGCCCTTCCCCAGAGTCCTGTATTGTGCAGAAAGCCACCCAGACTGGAAGCTGCCATCGCCGCCAAGTCATTCCAGCAGTCACAGCACAGTGACATCCACAGGCAACTACGGGTTTAAAGAATTAAAGTTATTTCATTCAGCCTCCGGTGTGCATATTGCTCCCGCCTGCCCAGATTCAGGGCAGGCAAAGAGGCCACAGCCTGGGGAGTAGGGGGTGGGGACACGGACGGACATGGAGCAATCCTCTTGTCCCAGTACAGAAAGCACCATCCAGGAGACTAGCCAGGGCCTTCAGAGCACATGGAGTCCACCCTTTATTTTTGATGGAAACAGGACAAGGCCACAGGCCTCGCTCGCCTGCTGCAGGCGGCTGTATTCATCGCAGGCACCAGGGCCCCATCACTGAGCGGTCAGAAGCTGTATGTTCCCATAAGCTGCACAGGCAGTCCCAGCCAGGGGCCTTGGCCACCACCAGCTCCGTGTGGGTGGTGTTCTCCAGGTCACGCCTCCCAGGTGCCCCAGGTTACTCTGCTTCTCTACAAGAGCAGCCACATCTAGTTGAGAGCAGATGGTGAGAGCCTAGACCCCGAGTTCTGCCTCAGGACGGACCCCTCAGCCCACATGGGCTCCACCCCTGCCTTTATAAAAAGGCTGTGGCAGACAGGATACTTAGTGACCTTGGCACGGTCAGACATGCAGCCCCTGGCTCTCGGCCGCCAGCCTTCCCACCCTCCCCTCGGGCCTCAGGCCCAGTCCCTGCAGAGCAGCCGGGCTCATCTGAGGGCCAGGCTGTAGACATGGTAGATCTCGTCTGGGAGGTTCTCCTGCCGCTCCTCGGCCAGCAGGCTGAGGCCCGCGCGGCGGACAATGCTGCGCACCACCTGCAGGTCCCTGCACACGCTGCTGTCCACGTCGTCCAGGATCACCCCTTCCTGGGCCATGTTGTCCTTGATGACCACGATGCCATTGGGGCGCAGGCCCCGCTTGCAGCGCCGCAGGAACTCAGCCAGGTGCTGGTCAGTCAGGTGGCCTGGGGATAGGGGCAGTGAGGCGCTCTGGCCACCATTTCCCAGCCCCTCCTCAGGCAGGGTGCACACAAGGTGCCTCATTGACCCTCTCGGCCGCCCTGAGGGGTGGCACGAATATACTCCCTTTCAAGTCTGGAAACTGGCTCAGAAGTTGCCCCAGGGCAGAAGCTAGTAGATGTGAAGCTGGGGCTTAACAGGATGTAGGGTGCCTCCCACATCCTGCATTCTGCCCACATACCAGGCACCCACCTGAGTGCACCTGGTCTGGGGTTCCAGCACGGCAGGGGCTCCCAGACTCCCTTCCCTGCATTCACACTCGGGCTAGAAGCCTCCTTGACCACATGGCAGAAGTCCAAGGCGTTCACCCAGGGTTGGCTGCCAGCCTTGGAGGTGGGGCTGACCCTCCGGATAGGCAGAACAGGAGGCGCATGCTCAGTCGATTCCCACAGGCTGCTAAGCTAAGTGGGGGTGGGCCCAACCTCCAACAAACTTGCTCACTGGTTTTCATATTGTTCTTTAGAAATGAGGGTTTTTATTTAAAGTACTGGTTTCGCTTTCTCTGAATGCCCCAAATGGATCGCAGCAGGCACTGCAGTCTGCCCCACAAAACTCCCACAGAGCTTGGGTCCACCTTTCAGGGTCTAAGACAGGGAGGGCCAGGCGTGGCACCCCCACTTGGCATGGAGCCTCAGTGGCTGGAGACAGACAGACAGGAGGACGAGAGGGGAAGCTGAGTCTCACCTATCACCCACTGGATCCAGATGACGTCGTAGGAGCCGGGCTCGGGGCTGAAGTCCTGGAGGCCGCAGCAGAAGTAGTTCCGCACTCTCTTGCCCTCCTCACCCAGGTAGGTCTTGGCTTTCACCAGAAAGTCCTCCGTCACATCCACCATGTCCACCACTTTGAACAAAGGCAGGAGCAGCCGCTTGGTGATCCTGCCAATGCCAGCCCCACAGTCCAAGGCACATAACGTCCCCGTCTTGTTTGGGCCTTCCTGAAAAGCAGAAAGGCAGGCTGTAGGCATGGTGGGGAAGCCAGAGACCCTGTTGGCTGCTCGCTCTTAGCCTTAGCAGAGACTTGAACCAGGACTTAGTATGGATTCTCTGGGCCGGTGGAGACCA